TAGATAGATAGATAGATAGATAGATAGATAGATAGATAGATAGATAGTTATCGATAAATTGATGGATACAAATATGAATGCATAAGCACACGTGTAGCATGTCTACAATCATGTATACGATCATATAGGCACACATGTTCAATGTAGCACAGGAATCCAGGATCGCTCACAGGCTCGCTCAAAGGCTCTGAGAGTGGCTCTGCGCGGAGCTACTGGGCCTAATGGCCCATTTGAAGGGCCTAATTAGATCCACTGAGGCCAACGTCTTCACAAATCCAGCTCCCAAATCCCATCTCCTGTCACAATGGTCACATGTCACCCATTTGCCGTGGACGGCCCGGGTCCACGCCGGTCCACCGGCGCCGGCCGGTCCTCCAGGTTCGAGCTCATCATGCGCAGCCTGGCCCGCGTTGTTTTCGACCGGGCCGGGTAGGCCCCGGTCGCTCAAGCGTGAAAATACCTGTATCCTATGAATCACCTGCCTGGTCTATATGAATCCATGTCACCACGCAGAATTGATATGAAACCGGAGTTCTCAAGGTCCACTGGAGCTGGTCCACCTTGGTGCCCGTCCTTGACGCTGTTTCACTCCATGGTCAAACCGATCAAAACCGATCAGTTGGTTCGGGGGGTGATTCTTTGTGAAAAGGGGTGGTGTCCGAAGCCGGGCGGAGATGGCCAGTCTCCCAAGCAAGTCGTGGGGTGTGGATGTAACACATCTGTCGAAATTACCAGTGGTTTCAGGCACCCCAAGTTCAGTTCAGATGTCCCATCTATCGATCTCTAAAGGGGTGGGTCCATTTCTCACCTCTCCCAGCGGTGGGCCGGGAACCCCGGCCTCCGCTCGATTCACCCGTAAAAGCTGGTCCAGGTCCAAGCTAACCACAGGAGATGCTTGGATTGAGCTGCGTTTCTTGCAGGGTTGGCCGGGAAAGAAGAAACATTCATCCAGAAACCTGGGGATTCACCCAAACCTAGGCGGGCAAATAAAACAACATCATCCGAAGAACAAAAACAGGCTAGGCCCATGTAGGCCCCGTCAAACAGAATGACAGCAACTTTCCCAAGCTGTTGAGCAAAAGCATCCAAAAAAACCAATCATAAAACTCCATTGCTCTTGAAACATTTGCCTATGTTCGTTGGGGTGGTTGATTGCCACGGGGCGACAAACAGGTCGGGCGCAGCAAACATCGAGAGCTACTCAGCTAAACCACTCGAGAGCTAGTCGTGGGTACACACAGATGCAACTCCGTCTCACTCCACGCGGTGGATGTGGGCGTGATGTGCAAACCATCGGACAAGCACCCCGTCAACCAGAAAGGTGCCAGTAACTGTGCCCGTCATGTGCCTTCCCATTCCAAGTCTATGTAAAGACATACCGCCACAAGGCCGAATCCACACCGATCGCCTCTGACAAAGATCGCTGGATTGCTCGGTCGCGTCCTCCAGCTGCTCCCAGCAACGGTGGCCTCAGCGTCGGCCGTGGCCGACGTTGGTCGAACACGGCGGCAGGGGTCGGGTCTTCTACACCGTGTGGACACGGACAAGAGCCAAAAAAGAAACACATGGAGTGAGTCTATCTATATCATTGAGCCATCCCCATCCCAGTAAAGAATTTCAAGGTGAACTTGGGTGGACCATTTTCTAACTGGAAAAAAAACGTGGCATTCACTTTTGTCTAGTAAATGGTCATGGCCAGGTAAAAACGCTATCTAGAAATTGCTAGGCATTCTAGAAACGTGGGAAACGTTTCTTTTCCATTCAATCTTTGCTCCCGAGTTTTGAGGACAATCTGTTTGCTCTTGTACCTTCTTTCGTATCCCATTATTTTCAAGCACACAAGACAGCTATTCTAGATGTCCTCTAGGAATTGGTAAGGTATGACAAAACAAATGATTGTATCATCCATTAAAACAGCTGTTTTATAGAAAGCGGTGGGGCTCCAGCAATATATGGGCAGCATGTCTGACTAGAAAATGACCCCTTCTCTACGGGACTTGGGTCCAACCATCTCCTAGGGAACATTCTAAGGGGGATATTGAGCCATCTATTCAACTGGAATTCTGGGTCTGGACATCTTACACTTGCATTCCTTAGCCTATCAAAACACAGGATCAACAGAGTATGCGCCCAGTTCTTTTTGTGGACCAGCCCAGCACAAGTCCAAACACGAGAGGACCCATATGCTTCCTTCGTTCTGTTTTGCAACTCCTCTTCTGCAGAACGCCCTGCAGGGACTGGAAAGGACATCAGTAGTTTTGCGCGCAGTTATGTCCAGAAGGAAGCACTTCCCAACTTCAAGATGGAACAACACACCGTTTCGGAACTGAACCTGCTCTTCAGATGTTGAAAGCTATAGGCTATAGGCGTTGCTCCGGAATCCGCCAGAGAGCCTGCTGTTTAGCTGGAACTCTCGGATCCGGACTCCGACACATCTCCCGTGGACTCGGAACACTCTGAGCTTTCGAGCTCCGTCCTACTCAGTCTACTCAGCCTCCAGTTGCCCGAGACCACCAAACGTGACAAGAAGAATTGTGCCAATTGCCTGCCACCAGGTAGCCTCAGCAGATTAGGAGACACCAGGTCGCATGGGACCCCGCGCATTCCAAGATTGAAAAAGGACAGATCTCGGTTCAAGGGTTTCTGGGGAACATGCCAACTGATTTATGTTTCGGGACAATTCAGCTTTGCTGGTGCAATGAGCTGATCGCTCACCCCGCCCCCCCATCATGTGTAGAGCACTCGATGCTGAAAGGAGTGCTAAGCCGTGCACCGATTCACACCCCGACCCTGTAAAGCAGCAGGGAAAATTGACCTTGTGTCGCAGGGGCATGGGGATTCGCTGTCGCTGTCGCGTGCAGAAAGGGGTCCGGAAGGAACAAGTCCATTATGACTGGCAAGCAACTTCAATGTGCCATGAATGCCCAAGACCGCAAAGAAGAGCACCACCAAGAAAGACAGGGAGTACAAAGTGAAAAGTAGGGAAAACATGGTCTTCTCCCCAAATTCATTCAGCTCTGCCAGGCAGAAATAGAAAACCGTCACAATCTTTGCCATCACGTTCAGCATGAAACATCT